TCTGCCAAGAGGTCCAGGATCCAGGCTTGGGTCCCGGAGGCCACAGAAAGGGTTGGGGGTGACCTGGGGGATCCCATGGGCGGGCGTCAATAGAGAAGCCAAGACCACTCGGTGTCTGTCTCAAACTCTGACTTCCAGAGCAACCCCCGTATGCAAGGGTCTGATAGATGTTGGATGAATGGACGAGGGAGTGGAGAAACGAAGCCTTTGGGTTCAGCCTTGGCTTTCTGTGACTTCACTGCCACCCTGGGCAAGTCACTGTCCCTCCTCTGAGCCTCGGGGGCCTTCCAGCCCAAGGTTGGGGGATTTTGGGGAGCAGGGAGAAATGCCCTGATGGTGCCCAGAGGTACTGGGAGCGGAAAATGGCCACGCGGCTGGGGGTCCGGAGAACTGGGCTCTGTGATCCCTCACCTTCCCGGCTGTGTTAGGTAAGTCGAGGCCTGGGCCATGTGTGGGAGGGGAGGGTCCACAGCTGGCGTCGGCGCTCGCGGAAGCAGGCAGAACCACTCTGACTGGCCGCAGTGGGCTTCTTCCGTGCCCATGCGGGTGGGAAGCTCACCTGTGCCTAGGTTGCTTACCCCCTGGGGGGCCCCATGCCCTCCGCAGACAGAGCACCTTTCTCCACGGCCTGCTCACCCCGCGGTTTATGCCGATCAATGTTGAGGTCCCACATGAATGACCCAAGAGCCAGGTCGGGCCAAGAGCACCCAGTTTTGTTTCCTCTCATTGAGTTTATTGGTACATTTTAGGTACACAGTACAATTACGTTCATCATTGGGATCTTGTACCTTTACACGACAGGTCTTGGTTCTCATTTTTCCCCTTGTCCCTGCCCTCCCTTCACCCCCTCCTTCTCTCCCCATTTACAAACTTCATTTCCATTTTTCATTTTCTCATATTTTTTTCTTTCACCTTATTCCCTTTCCCCTACCCTTCCCACTTTCCCTACACCTTTAGCCCTTATCTTCCCATTTCATATTGTCAATTATATCATTAGGATCTTATGTACTATTATAGTTTTTCACACCGGAGAAACTACTCGGTATTTACACACATGTGACTTATTTATTTCACTTAGGAGTATATCCTCAATATGCATCCATTTTCCTATGAATGAATCTAATTTCTCATTGTTTATGGCTGAGTAGTATTCCATTTTATAGAAAAACCACATCTTCTTTATCCAGTCTCCAACAGATGGGCAAATGGGCTGTTTCCAAATTTTAGCTATTACACACTGTGCCGCCATAAACATGGGTGAGCGTATGTCACTGTGACATGCTTGTATTCTTTTGGAAAGATACCCAGCAGAGGGATGGCCGGGTCAAGTGGCACCTCCAGTCCCAGCTCTGCGAGGTGTCTCCGTATTGATTTCCACAGTGGCTGTACCAGTCTGCACTCCCACCGACCATGGAGAAGGCTCCTTTCTCCCCGCACCCCGCCAATCTTTGTTATCACAGTTTGCTTTTTAAGGGATGCTAGCTCTTGGTTAGAAATGCAGGCTGTGTCCCCTCGGCCACGTTGTCATTCCCTGTTGGGTCACACCTGGCGGGCAGCTCGCTGTGTGCAGCTCTCCTGCCCCTGAAGCCATCTAGGTTAGAAACTGATCTAGCTCAACACCTGTTTATGAGCAGGAAACTGGGAGCTGGGAATATCCAGTGAACCCCAGTACCTAGACTCCCTGAGACGGGAAGAGCCCCAGAGATCCCACCGTCCCACGTCAGGCCTGGCGAGTCCTTCCTTCAGCGAAGCCTTTGCTCATCGCCCTGCCCCAGCAGCCCCGTGCCCTTCACGTCTCCCTCCGTCCTGCTGTGCCGTCGAGGCCCCGCCTCCTGGTGGACACCCTGGTTCCTTGCCGCCCCGTCCGCTCTGTGACCACGGGGCCTCCGTTGTGTTGTCATTGTCGTGTCCCTAGGCCGGCGTCTAACGGTAGGTTTTTCAAAACTTCTGAGGAAGAGGGAAAATGAGGCCAGGAACAGACGCCCTCCCTGCCGACATTTCCCCAGGTTGTTTAGGGTCCTGCTGGAGGCAGCTCACTGGGCGCGGCCCTCCCACCTGGCTGCACCCCTGGCCAGAGCAGACGCACCCCCACCCCACCCCACCCCACCCCACTTCCTCCAGGTCGGCCGCCCAAGCCCAAAGAGTCCGCCGCGGGGTGTCCAGGCTGGGTCTGCAGACTGGGCAGGGAATATTCTCAGTGAGCGAGGCAAGGAAAAGGGAGAGGCAGGGAGGGCACAGCAGGCACAGAGAGAAAGGAGAAGGAAAGCCTCTCTGTGTTTCCCAGAGGGAGAAGCCGAAGTCGCTTGTCATTTCCCCCAAGAGTACAAACACTGTTTGCTTGTGGCAACCGCTGAAACAGTGCACAAAGGCGTGAGAAAGAAGGAAGGTCAAGAGGTCAAGCTGTGCCGCTTCTCAGAGGTCTGGCTGACAACTGCGCGCCCACTTAGGGTCAGCGTGATCCGGAGACCGACAGCGTCTGGAACCTTGGGAGCGCCGTTTAGTTTCACTGCGGCTCAGTCCCTTCATCCGTGAAGGTGAAACCCACCGCGGCCTCCTGTGGCCATCTCTCTTGGCCTCCGCACGGCCCCTCTGCAGCCTTCCTGGTCTTTCCTCCTCCCTCCAACCCTGAAAGCACTCCTTGGAGACGCCAAGCCCGGCCCCTGCCCTTTCTGATCCCCCCGCGGGACAAGTCACCTGGGATTCCAGGCTCCAGCAGCCCTTGTCACGGTACCATTGTGACAACTGGAGGGTGAATATGGGTCCACGGGAGGGGCTTCCACGCTGGACGTGGCAAGGGCTGTGCCTGCGCCTGCTGATCATGGCCCTGACTGGTATGGTGGGGGTCAGCAGCATCGCCACCAGCACCACCGGCATCACCCTCAAAGACAGCTCTTACAGTACCAGCCTGCCTGCCTCTCCTCCACCCTTTCACATCCGTCCATCCACCCAGTCTTTGCTAACGGGAGCACGGCCTTGTGCTCTTTCTACTTCTCAGGCCACCCCATGTGAAGTGGACGGGTCAATAAGTGCTACTAAATCACACGACTCGGGCCCTAGCTAACTGGGTGCGGGTAGCAGGGGGTGACGGAAGAGGCTTCCCAAAGTGCTGTCTTGCCCCCTTCTGTGTCTGTAGCCTAAACCTAGACTTAGCCCTGTGCCTTCGGGTAGGATGGACTTGGGCAGATTAACATTTGCTATCAGGTCATTCCAGAAAGGTCTCCAAAATTAAAACAAAAAGCAATCGAATTTGAAGTATCAAAGACCATGAAAAGCCACCACCTCTCAGTGCTTCACGGTTACCCTGGGCACAGAGGCATCGCCACCCCCACCCGGAAGGCCGGAGCACCTCTTGGCACTGACTAGTGGTTGCAAGCTTTGCTTGCTCACTTATTTGTCTAGGCACCCTCCCCCCCCTGAAATGCCAAGATCATCAGAGCAGGGATCCTGGCTTGTTTGGCTTTACCTAGGGTGCCAAGCACACAGGAGATGCCCAACAAACACTTGTGAAATGAGTGAATGAAATCCCGCAGACGCCCACAGCACAGGCTCAGAGCCTGTGGCCCTGAGAGAGGGACCAGTGCTCCTCAATCCAATACCCCGAGCTCCTGGTCACGTTCCCTCCTCTCTGGCTCGTCCAGGGTGCCCGTAAAGACTGGTTCCTGCCACCCCCTGGCACCTGCGGTCATTCAGTGCAGTGAGTCAGGTGGACCGAGTTAAGGCCCTGCCACTTGCTAGCAGTGTGACCCGAGGCCATTCTCTCACAAGTGAGGGCTCCATAATAGTGGGCGGCACTTCGTGTGGGCTTTGTGCTAAATCTGTCTTACACAGAGCTCGTGTTCTCCACACTGACCCGATTCGACAGGTCCTGTGGTTATAGCTGCCACCTTACATGGGGGGAACTGAGTCACAGAGCGCCTAGATAACTTGGTGGCCCCTAGGGGTTGTAAGAAGCAGCGCTAGGATTTGAGCCAGACACTCCCAGCATCATCTTTGAAGACAGTTCTTCACGCCTTCCTCCCTTACTCTTTCCCATCAGCCCATCCATCCACTCTTCTCTAACGGAAACGCCTCATGTGCTCTTTAGGAACCTGCTTTTTGTACTCCCTACTGTATCCCATATGAGAGGGACGGGTTTATGCCTAGAAATGCTATTAAATAAAGCAGCTAGATAGGCTGGGGGTTTAGCTCAGTGGTTCCACCACCTGCCTTGCAAGTGCAAGGTCCTGAGTTCGATCCCCGGTAACAACAACAATTTGTAAAACAACTAGGGCCCTGGTTAATTGGGGATGGGTGATGAAGAGACATCCTGAAGTGTCATTTTGCTGTGTCCACAGGGTAAACCTGGTACTTTTGGGTGTAGTGGGCTTTACAGCAATCAGCTGTGTGGCAGTAAGAAAGATCACTCCAGGATGGACCTCAAAATGAAAAGTAACCAGGGCTGGGGATTTAGCTCCGTGGTTCTGCCTCCTGCCTCGCAAGCAGAGGGACCTGAGTTTGATCCCCCTTACCAAAAAGAAAAAAAAATAATAATAAAAGTAACCAAATAAAGTTTATGCCACTTTTATATTTTTATGTTTCCCACCTGTCTCCACTGTGATGCCACCTGGCCTCAGCTTAGGAGATTCGATCTGCCAAGTGCTTAGCTGGCACGAGACACGCAGTCAGCCCTCAGAAACGCTGACAATGTTGGTGTGGGTTCAGGCACCGAGTCTGTGGACAGAGGCCACAGGTGGGTGCAGGGGCAGCTGGGGAGCCAAGCTCCAGCCGGGGCCCCCAGGGAAGCCCCCTTTTCCATCTGCCAGAGAGGTGAGGGCCCCTCCTCCCAGCCTCCAGGAGTTGAGGAGGACTCTGGGCGTGGAGCCAGGAGGCGGAGACTCAGGCAGGCTAACCAGGTTGCAGGGCAAAGTTAAAAGGGAGGAGAGGAGCTCCAGTGCATCAGAGCTGACACTCCTTTCTGGTGCCTGGGTGCCCGGGAGGAGCTGGGAGTCGGGCGTGCAGCTACCGGGTGCCAGAGCTGTCCTTGGAGCTGGGGAGCAGGGGACAGGATGGCTCCGCGGAGAGCTGTGCAGCTGTCCCTGAAGAAGCCCACCTATGCCGTGTGTGTGGTGGGGACCGAGATTCAGGTTAATGTCCACAGGTGAGAGCTGCGGGGAGGCACCTGCCTGGCTGCACAGGGCTGTGCTCAAACGGGGCACCGGGGCGATGGGGCTGCCATGCTGGGAACCAGCTGGGCTTGTCGAGGGTGAGGATGCAGGAGGAGGCCGTTTCACAGCGGAGAAGGTGGAGGTGGCTGCAGAGGTGGGAAGGAGGGACTGGGGTCTGCTCAGGTGCACCTGGGCTCCGGCTCCTGGGCCCTGGGGTTAGGGCAATGGCCTCCGGCCCCTGGACAAGGAAGGGTCTAGCCTCAGGGTTCCATTTCTGTGCCCTGGAGCCGGGCCCTGGAATCTGGATTGTGTTCTGACATCCGAGGGCAGCTTTGTGGGGCATCAGGGCAAACGGTTCAGGATGGGACGGAGACCGAACCTCCCCTTCCACCCGATCTCTCACTAACTCCTCGTCGCTCTGCTGTGGGAGGTATGCGCGCCAGCTTGGTCCTGGAGCCCAGACAGGGATCTGGGGTGACTGGGATCAGCGGAGAGGCTAAGGAATCTCAATGACAACCTAAGAGGTGAGCCTGGGGCACAGCGTGAGACCGTGATGGTGACAATGACTGTGGCGGTGACGATGGTAACTGTGATAGTGGCAGAGATGACACGGGAGGAGCAGACAGAACATCAGCTTCTCCCGTGGGCCCAGGTCTTCCTGTCCTGGCTCTGTCAAGATGGGCACTCAGGGACCTGGATCAGCCTCAGTTTCCCCACTTGGCCACTGAGGAGTTGGACTTGATAGACAGGATTCCATCCCTGCTGGACCAGGTGGAGCCGGGCCTTCTGCAGACGGGGGCCCAGGTTCCCCTCCATGTGCTGGGGCCTGTGACCAGTGCGCCTGAGCTCCCATCACCTTCTCGGGTCCCGAGGCCTGTGCTGGCCCGGTATGGTGAAGGGGTGCTGGGCCCAGCTTCCCACCTGACCTCAGGTTGAGCCTATGCCCTGGAGTTTTCTCTGTTCCTCTCCTGGGCACTGGCCTGGGACCAAGTGATCAGATGGGGAAAAAGCCAAGAAGCCAAGTGCCGGGCCTTGACTCTAAGTAGGTCCGGTTTTCTCCTGCCCTTTTCACACAGAGCCACCAGGTTCAGTGAGTGAAAATGCAGGATGCCTAGCAAAGCTTAAACTTCAGATGAAATAGAGTTTACATGCGTGTGTGCCTGCGTGCATGTATGCATGGTGCTAGAGATTTTTTTTTAAAGACAGGGTCTCACTATTATTTCAGGCTGGACTTTAACTCACTGTGTAGCCCATGCTGGCCTCAAACTCACCAGCAATCCTTCTGCCTCAGCCTCCCAAGTGCTGGGATCTGTACAGGTGTATACTACCGCATATGGCTGGCGTTGAAGATTGAACCTAGGGTTTGGGGCATGCTAAACAAGCGTGCCACTATTTGTACGTCCAGCCCTCAGAATTTTTGTGTGTGTGTGTTTTGCATGGAACGTAGCTATATTACAAAAATCTGCTGTTTAGCTGAAGTAGACATCTATCCTGCATCGCTCCTGGCAGTCCTACTTTAACGCCCAGGACAGGGAAGGTGTCCTCAGGGGCCCTACCTGTCTGGTTAAGGCCCTGCTCTCATCCAAGGCTGTGATTGTTCCTGGAACGCACTTTTAGAGCCTCAGACCCTTTGCCACGTCATGGACTAAGGCCGGAAGCATTTGACAGGGGCTAAGAAAATCTCAGCTCTGGTTGTGGTCCTGTCACCAGCTCACTGCCAAGTCCCTGGCCCCCCGTGGGCTTCATTTCTGAACCTGGAGAGATGAGCTGGGTCCCCTGTACAGTTGAACAAGGGGGTAAAAAATCTCAGACTCGGGAGTTGGACAGATTCATCTTTTCATCCTGGCTCTGTTCGTGGGTGGCTGTGTGACCTTGAGCAAGCTGCTGCCCTTCTCTGAGCCTGTCTCTGCGCCTGGCAAATGGGGGAGCAATAGTGCAAAGCTTAATAGACCTGGCAAAGAAGCAACTATGCACATACAGGGCCCATTGTTTGTGGGAGCCCTGGCAGGGGATGCTCCCAGCTCTGAGGGCCCTGGGCAGGGTCTGGCGGCTCCCTCCCATCGCCCCTCAGGAGTGGCAGGGGATGAGGACAGTGCGGGTGTGTGTGCTGGGAGCACTGGGCACGCTCTGCGAAGCTCTAGAGGACACAGAGTCCTCGGAACCTTGGAGAGCACCTTGCCAGGCGAGGACACAGGAAGCGGCTGGGGGCGGCAGCGACGTCCTCTACCTGATGCTGGGAGGGAGCGAGATCCCACCCTAGGTGTGGGGCCCTCGGGTCAGATGCTGAGAGCCCAAACCAGAGCCGGAGTTCAGGCTTGGGAGAAGCCTCCTCCTGGTGAGGTGTAGGGTGGACGGAAGCGGGAACCTGGAATTGTCTCCCTGAAGGGGCTCAAGGAGCCTGAATCTTGCTCCAGGGATGGTGGCCCCCGGGCAGATGAAGGCTGAGGAACTCGGGGCATCCCACCTGCTTGCCGGGTCTGGGCTCCAGCTGAAGCCAAGCAGGGCTTTATAAACCGGCCGGATGGTAGTAGCAGGAGAGCCACCCAGAGAGGTGTGCGGTCCTGAACCGCCCGGAGCCTGAGCCCTCTGGGAGATGGGTATGCAAGGTGATGTCACAGGAAGTGACTCCTCGCTGGGGGCTTCATGGACTGGTTCTTTGGAGATATATTTGTGTTTGGGATAATTGTGTGGCCGGGGGTAAGCCAGCCTGACGAAGCCTTAGGGCTTCTGACTCAGTGTATACTATAGATTCCACCCCCTTGCTCTACTCTGGTGAGCTAGCTCATCACTCTGACACTAAACCCCAGGGGGCTGGCTCTCTATCACTACCCTACACCCCAGGGGGCTGGCTCTCCACCCTGGCTCCCTAGATCTTGTCAGATTGTCCCGGATGGCCCCGTTCTTGCCTGGGGACGTCAGCTGGCCCCTTTAAGCTCAGGTCGATAAAGCCGCGCTGAGCATCATGGGGAATCTATTGCTGGTCTGCTCGGTCCCCCTTACTTGCGCAAAGGCCTGCAGTAAAGCTGGAGGCCACGATGATCATTTGCCCCTGGGATGGAGAAGGCTGGTTGGGCAGGAGCTGGGCCTTTCTCCCGCGCTTCTCCTGTCTTCCTCAGCCTGCAAAAACAGGGCAAAGCAGACTGGTACTGGGAGAGCGGCAGGACTGGCAAGTTCAAGGGGAGAGGCTGCCAGGCCGGGGGACTCGCTCACTCGCCACAGAGGGGTTGGGCAAGGGCATCTTCTGGGGTTCCCTGTGCTTCACAGAGCGAGGCTGGCATAGCAGAGTTGTGCAGTGTGGTGAGGAAGCCCTTCCTGTTGTTTACACCGAGCAAATGAGTGCTTTGGGTACCTCGCTACAGTGAAGCTGAACCGGGCGCTGGAGGTAATGACAGGACTGGTGCCGACTCTAATCCCTAATTCCCAACCAGTGCCAGGCCGGGACACCCTCTCCTCTTGCTGCATCCTGCCCAGAAGGACACCCTTATTTGGCAGTCGGGGTGCCGGCTGAAGTTGGAGGGTTCCTGGACCACAGGAGGAAGAGAACACAACACCTCCTCGGGACCCCGAGAGTGTTGAATCTGGGCCTCCTTGGAATGTGAGGCCCTGCACCAGGGAGGGTCTCAGAGTCCCCCCCCCATTCCACAGATGTCCCTGCTTCCCTGGGCCCCTCGCCATCTGCCATTTTGGGTGGGTTGAGAGCCCCGCCTCTCCCTCATCCCCTGCCCTTTCCTATGGCTTCTTGGGGGCGAGTATTTGGATGCTCCTCATCCTGCCCATCTCCTCTTCCCTTCCCGCGACAAGTTCCACCCCTCTCCCCACCCCCGGGCCAGAGGCCCGGGTTCAGCCCGGCAGCTCTCACTGTGGACCCCAGGAGGAGACTGGAGGCCCAGGAGCACAGGGACGCAGCCTCCCCCGACCCTGTCCTCCGCTGCTCCGTAAATGGAAGTCTCTTGCTGTGCTCTGTGGCTGCGTGTCTCTGCCACGTTGTCCCTCCCAGAGAGGCAGCTGGAAGGAGCTTCATTTCCACACAACTGGGAGGAAGCCCCAGCTGTGAGCAGAAAAGGCTGGTGTCCCAAAGTCTGCCATTCCAGGCTCCTAGGCCCTTAGCCTGGTGTTGAGGAAGCTGTGCTTCCAAACTCAGTGGCCCCAGTGCAGAGAACCTGGTCCTTCTGAGCAGGAATCAGGGCCACCGGAAGCCCTGCAGACCATCACGTTCCTGACCACATTCTAGACCCTGCTGTCTCCCATCCTCTCTGGCCTGTGCTGGCTGAAGTGGGCACACAGGGCAGCTGTGGGCTGAGCTGCCCGGCACCAAGCTTGCTGGGCACAGGACAGTGTGGGCTGGGGCATGTGGACCCCAGGCAGGAAGAAAGCAGCTGTCCCCAAGAAGCGGCCCTGGCTGGGCTGCATGACATGGGAGAGCCAATGTGGTGGCTGCTGAGAACAGGATGGCCCGTAGTCCTGGAACCTCAGGCTGGGGTCAGGCTGGGGTCAGGCTGGTCCGTGTGGGCTGTGTGACCTTGGCCAGTCACTTAGCCTCTCTGAGCCTGTTTTCTCCCACAGTAGGTGAGAATGATATCACCTGTTGTTTATACCTATGAAGTTGGCACCTTTACTTCCCCCACTTTACAGATGAGGGATTTGGTAATCCACAGAGCAGAGGTGTGTTTGGGGGAGGGGAGAAGAGACTCACCTTAAGGCTGGCTTTAAACTTGGGGTCCCTTCTCTCAGCCTGCACTGGCTCCCAGCCTCTTTCTGCCTCTGCTGGGTAGGCCGGTGAGTGAGAGCTGTCCCCTTCTGCTGGGCCCTCCACCTGGCTTCCCTGGGTGTGGCCGCCTTGAGGAGGGGCAGGGCGTAAAGTGCCCAGGATCAACTGATCGGTATCTGGAGGGAGAGGACAAGCCACGCCCTCTGTGATGCCAGACTTCTGGGAGGTCTTCCAGGGACACTATGAGCCCCACTTTACAGGCAAAGAAACAGAGACCCAGAGAGGTAGAGAGGCTTTTCTGAAGTCACACAGCACACACATGCGGGAGCTGGAATCTGAACCCAGGTCTGCCTGATTCCAGGTTCTGTGAGCCCGATGCCGAGAGCTCATCACCCGGGAATTTGCTGGGTCAATGTGAGGGGTACAACGGGGATGAGGCAGTGCGTGGTCTTCCGGCCAAACCCCAGCTCTGCCTCTGTGGCCCTCTGTGACCACGTCGACATTTTAGTTCTGCTCTCTAAAGTGGGGGATAAATTGCTCACCTGCTCTGGTGGAAGAGTTGGATGAGGACTCTGTGGCCTCTTGGGGGCCTCCCAGAAGCTGGGCTGGCAGCTCTTCCTCCGTGCAGTCCCCGTGCCCAGGCCAGGATGGGGGAGGGATGGGCTGGCCTTGATATGGGGCTGCCAGCCTCGTTCTCTGCTCCTGGCCCAGCCGTCTGTGGAGCTGGGTGCACCGGAGGGACTTGCCAGGTCCCGCTGGCGGGGGCTGCGACCTCTTTTCCGGCTTCAGCCCATGAAACTTCAAGTGTGGGACACCTGGATGCTGGCATATCAGGGGCTCCTGGTGGGCAGGAGTGGCCTGAGGCCTGCCCTCTGGTTTGGCATCGTTCTACCCCTCCTGCCCAGCCCCCGGGGGTGGGAGCTTTGGAGAGGGAGGCTGTCATCAGGGAAAAGGGAGGACTTTCTAGTTGCCAGGGCTGCCAAAGCAGGGAGGGGTGTGAGGTGGTGAGCTGCCTGTCAGGGGAAGTGCTCAAGCTCAGAAACCAGGATGAGCTCCCGAGGTCCTCTGACCCAGCGCGTACGCACATCTTGTCATCTTAGAGCGGGAGGTGACTGGAAGGTCACAGGTGCCACCCTGCTGGCTGCACTCTCCTTGCTGCTGCAAGGTCTGAGCAAGAGCCAGAAAAGTGGCTTCCCACCCGCGGTCCCCACCCTGAGTCAGGTGTCCCGAGGAGCTGTGCTGCGCAGCTTGGACGCTTTCCCGCTTCCTTCCTAGGCCCACCCCCAGACCTCCTCCTCCCTCAGCCTGATGGGGCATTTTCAGAACAGGCAGAAGGCCAGGAAAGCCCACCAGAGAAGACGAAGCTGCTGTTCCCCGCTCCCTCTGCCAGCCGTGTGACCAGATGAAAGTTACTGGACCGATCTGCGAAGTTGTCTTCTTCTGCCAGATGGGGACAGTGACATTTCCCCGGGAGGCTGTGGTGAAGGACAGAGGGGATCATGGGCGTGCAGGGCCAAGTGTGTGCCTGACACAGAGTACACAGTCCTGTGTGCCGTGCCCCTCCGTGCCATAACCAGAGATGGGCGTACACCTTGCCAGAGCAGTCAGGGCTGGGATTACGTTGGTGTTACCATCCCACCCCGCCCTCGGCGGCCTCTGGAGATTCTTTAGGATTGACTTTTGCAGCCCTGTAAGGGTGGGGGCGGAGCGGGGCGAGTCAGGCTGGATTCAGGCCTGGGTGCCACAGACGGACCGTGAAGGGTCAGAGAGAAGCCTGCCTGGGCTGTGGGGAAGAAACAGCGGTCCTAGAAGGAGTGGCAGGGCCGCTGAGGGCTCTGGGAAGAGTCCCGGTAGTGGTGACGCTGCCTGACCCCGATAAGGGCTGCACTTTAACTGCATCCCCTACTGGACCCCCGGGCACCCCTAGAAGGGGCCATTTGTATTATATCCTCTCCTCAGAGCAGGACAGGGAGGCCACATTCCACACAGGGCCCGCAGGAGGCTCTAGAGGAGGTGGCATTTGCAGGGGTGGGCGGATCCTCAGCTGAATAACTGGAGTGGTGACCAGGGTGACACCGGGATGGGTCCCCTCCAAGGTCGGGACTATGGCCCACTTCTTTTAAAGGGGGCTTTTAAACCCGCCACTGCCCATGACCCTGAGTTTGGGGAGTGCACCCTGGCTCCGCCCCCTCTGCCACTGTGGAAGCCACCCCAAGTGCACTTCACCTGGCCCCTGTAGGTAGCAGGGTGAGGTGGTGGGGCTTGTGGGGTACAGGAGCCCAGCACCCCAAGGAGGCTGAGCAAGTTGGGGTGGAGGGGGAAATCACACTGCAGGAGGCCAGGGAGTTGCGCCCTGTGCTTTCCTTCCTCTCCTTTCATCATCATCATCATTGGATCAAGACTCCAGGTTGGGGGTTGTGCCTCCAGGGCTGTGACTTTTGCCCAGAGCTGTGGTCGGCTCCCCACAGCCCCGCCCTGTCTGGCAGAGGCAGCCCCTGAGGAGGGAGTGAATCAGGGACTCCCACAAGCCGGAAACCCTTCTGCTGCCCCCTGGGAGCGCTGGGCTCACGTCCGCCTGCTCTCAGGGTGTGTGGGGTGGGCTGGGAGCCAGGCAGGCTGTGTCCAACCCCACTCAGCACCTGGTGCTCCAGGGCTGTCCTGACCGAGCCACTGTCCCCGTCTGGCGTGCGTTCACTGTGCCCGGAGCCCGACACAGATGAGGCGGTGTCTCGGAGGGAGTGGCGGGAGTCACTGCGCTCCAGAGGGGCAGGCGGACAGGTGACGAGCGCTGTGGGCCGGCGTGAATGTGGGGTGGGGTTCAGGGTGCCACTCACGGGCTCTCTCAGAAGGAATCGGGGCCCCGGCACACCACAGGCCCCTGTGAGCACTGCGCTCCAGACAGCAGGCGGTGGAGCAGGAAAGCCAGCTGCGGCGTGGAAGGCGGCTGGAGGGGGCGCAGGATGGGGGGCGTCCTGCAGCAGAGAGTTGGGGTGAGGTCCCGACAGACCCCGCAGGCGTCTCAAGTCAGTGCGTGGGGCACATCTCAGCTGCGAGCGCCGGCTGACACACGCTCAGAACCTCTCCCCGCCTCGGCGGACACCAGGCCTGGCTTCCCACCGAGCCTTAAGTGTGTATCGGCCGACAGCCATGACGCCGGGGTTAGCACGGACTCATGCCCGCTCCCTCAGCTGTAGGGCTCAGCGGAGAAGGCCCAGAGGGAGCGGTGCTGGACACAGACGGTTTTGAGGCGAACCCTGGCTTTAGGACGGGCAACATTTGCAGCACATCAGCCTGCTGGGTGGAGGAAATGGAGAAAGGGTGCCCTGGGCGGAGGCTTCCAGGAGGACAGGCAGGATGTGGGCTCAAGGCGCGTGTGCCGAGAGGAGTGCGGAGTGGTTTCCTGGGACAGCCAGGAAGTATCGGGGGTCCCTGGAGGTCAGAGGTCACGAACCCAGGGAGCCGTGGTGCGGCCCGGGTGCAGGGTGACGGAACACTGGCTGTGACCGGGGGCAGAGGGAAGGGTGAGCCGGCTGAGACTGGAACAAGGCGGACGGCCCTGGGGACTGTGGAAAGGAAGTGGTGGCTGGAGGTGACAGCGAGGGGAGGAGGAGCAGGGGCAGTGTCCAGGGCCTTAGCGGCCTTGGAAGGATGGACGGACGCCGATGTCGCAGCGGGCCCAGTCCCCGGCGATGGCCCAATGCGGGGCCGCAGCCCCCACGAGCAGCAGGTCTCCGAGAGTGCAAAGGTCAAGGGGACTCAGGTGGTGTGTGACGTGGGACGGGTCAGATGAGACTCAGGGCGGGAAGGCGGGAGGGTTCCTGCAGGGCACCCTGGCTGGTGGGGGTGGAGAGGCCGTGATCGTGGGGTGGGGGGCATCACCAGCCAGCAGCTCCGGGAGCCCTCGCCCTTCCTGCGTGGCCTGTGAGGTGGGGATAACAAGAGTGGCCTGGCGGGCTGCGGGGGCACAGGGAGTGCCGAGCAGACCAGTAGGAGTCGGCGTCCTTGCCGTTTGATGGGGAGAGCGACCATGGCAGCGGTTGGCAGAGGGTTGCTGTGGCTTCTCCGGAGGTTTAATATTTGTGCAGGTCCTTGAGGGTCCAGGAAAGGATCAGGGAAGGTGGTACAAGGACTCCTCCAGCGGCGTCTTTGTAGTCAGGCAGACGTCTGTGAGCGGACCTGAGCTCGGTGCTGGCCTTGGGCAGATCCTCTGGGGGCCTTGACGGGGATGGTGGCGCCCCGACATGTAGCGTGGATTCCCCTCCAGGTGTGAGCTCCAGGGTGCCCTTCTCTGCACCTGTGGCCCAGAAAGGCTGGGAGCAGCCGGTGCCAGGAGGAGGGGGTGGAGGCCTTGCGGCTCGGGCCCAGGAAACAGAGCTGAAGGCCTGGGAGCTTCTCGGCCCCTCCAGAGCCCGGAGCTCCGGGGTGCCTGGAGGACACGGGGTGTGAGGGCAGGGAGAGGTTGCACCAGGCACTGCCAGTCCAGGGCTGCACCCCATCCAGGGTAGACAGGCTTGAGACCCTGCAAGGCAGCCAGAAGTAAGAACCCAGTAACTTGATAACGAATGCACACTGAGCACTTACTATATGTCAGGCCCTACACAAGTACTAAGAGATAGCAGTGAGCCAAACACACAAAACTCCCTGCCCCAGTGAAGCCGAACTAGAGGGAGACAGATCACAAACATGGCAAGGGGAGAGGGCTGGAGGGAGCACAGGGTGGAGTGGTAGGGCTCCGTTCAGAAGGTGATGCGTAAGTGGAGCCCTGAAGTTCGAGGCAGTGAGCCCTGGGGAACCAAGGAAAAGCCTTTTATGCAAAGAGAATGGCCATGCAAATGCCCTGAGGCAGGACAGCTTGCATCTTTTGGGGCCAGCAGGAAGGCCAGTGTGGCTGAAACACAGTGAGGCTTGGGGATAGGGGTCCCTGAGGCAGCTGTTAAGGGGCAGCCCCTGCCCACCACCTCACTGTGGCGACCCTCCTGAGCCCTGGCTCTCTTCCTCTCTTGCTCCTCTGCCAGAGATGTGCCCAGGGGTGCCAAGACCTTCAGGGTCTCTTCGAGCTCTAAGGTGCAGGTCTTAGTGGCCTCTGATCCCAGACGGATGACAGAACCCACAGGCAAGGCCCACTGGTCACTGGACGCCACCGTGGACGTGATCTTATCCGTGGACACAGCCAGTGAGGATGTAAACGACCTCAAGGTAAGAGCCACTTCCTCAGAGGGAGAGGCTGGGTCTCCCCGACGCTTCCCCTCCCGGAGGTAGGAGCCCTATGGCTCTGCGTGCACACAGCACCCCACGTCCGCACAGCACGGCATCTGCAGACACCCAACCCACTCAGGGCACACGGCACCGGCCTTCCTGGCTCCCCAGCTCGGGGGGCCCAGGCAGTACCAGCTTCCATCTGAGAACCCTCCCTTCCCTGCTGTCCCCCTTTCTGGGGAGTGGCCTTGCCCTGGGCTAAGGGCTGACGTCCACAGGTGAAGGTGTCATATTTCAAGCAGCAGGAGAACCATCCCCTGGCCCACAGCTTGCTGTACCTGACTGCAGTGGGTAAGTCCTGTCCCGGGACTGTGACCAGGGGCTGTTAGAGGGGCCTGGCAGAGTGGGGGGCCATGGGAATCCAGTGGCTGGAGCCACAGGAGCCTAGAAAGTTCCCGGCCACTGGCTAGGGCCCCAGTAGGCCTCCAGCACCCAGAGTCTCTGTGGGCCGGCTGGGACCTGCAGGATCCAGCACAAAACTGTGGCTGGGAAGCCAGCCCAGGGCAGCCCACTCCGTGAGTGGCAGGACCTGGCCGCGGGGCCTGGGCCGGACCCCAGCTGCCAGACTCAGAGCCACCAGCACGTGATCTAGAAGCCACTGACACTGAGCAAGTCATTCTAGAGCTGAAGGCCTGGGTGCCTCTGCAGCAGGACCACAGATGCCACCCGGGTTGGGGACGGTGCGTAGGGCTGGGCTCCTGGGCCTCACAGGACTCTGAAGACAGCGGCTGCTCCCCACCCCTTTCCAGATGTTTCCCTTGATGTCGACACCAGCCGCACAGGCAAAGTGAAGAGACGCCAAGGGGACAAGGTGGGGCCCCCAGCAGCACAGGGAGCTCGTGCTTAAACAGCCACCGTGGCACGAGTCCACGTTAACTCACACCGGGGTGACTGTCGGGGAGCGGCTCACCCCCCGGGCTCTCTTGTGTGATGTGGAATGGGATCTGTCCTTCTTCAGCTGTGTTTTCTATTTTGGGAACTGTATTTGGGCCCCTTCAACAGCAAGGTGGGTGCTTCATGAAGAGGTGGTTGAGTGACGGCACGAGCTCTTTCTGGCTGCGGGGACGAGGGCAGTCAGCCCCAGTTAGAGCCTGAAGAGGGAGGAGGAGGACAGGGGGGCTCAGGGCTTTTCTCCCACAAGAAGCACCTGGAAAATGTCCGGGAGGGGTAGAAGGGAAGGACCCCAGGGGGCAGCCTGGATCACAAGGCTTTGTGGATGAGCTGGGGCAGAGCTGCCACGGACGGCTATGCAGGTTGTTCACTGCACAAGTGGACAGCCTGCGTGGCTGTGGGTCTAGTGCCTTCCTGGGAGCTGCAGCCCCCAAGTGTACGACCGAGCTTTAAATCTTTAAGCAAACCCAGGACACAGAAGTCTCCAAACCTACTTAGCAACCAGCCCAGGCTGTAGCCAGAGCCACTTCCTGAAACCACTTGCTCCCTCTGACCTTGAGGGTCTTCTCTCTCTTTTTTTTTGGTACTGGGGAACTCCGGACCTTTCGCTTGCAAGGTAGGTGGTGGCACCACTGAGCTAGATCCCCGGCCCTGACCTTGAGCTTCTTGATTTGCCACAGAAAACTTGGCGCTGGGGCCCCGAGGGCCACGGGGCCATTCTGCTGGTGAACTGTGACAAGGACAGCCGTGGGTCCCCGGAGCCCGATCTCAGCAGCAGCCAGCTGGCGTCGCTGGACGGTAGTGACAGAGGGGCCGGGCAGGAGGGGGCCCTGCTGGTGGGGTGCGGGAAGGGTTGCCTCACGGGAGCTGCTCCCCAGACCTACAGGACATGTCCCCCATCGTGCTGACCTGTGACGGCCCCGATGAGGTCTTTGACAGACACAAGCTGGTCCTGAGCGTGTCCCTGTCCGACTCCAGGAGGGTGCGGGTCTTCCAAGCTCGGGGTGAGTGGCCACAGGGCCTCCTCGCTCCTATCCCCTGTCCTCCCTCCCTCCCTCCTTCCCCTGCGCCCCTTGACCTCCCATCGCCCCTCCTGACTCTTACAGAAACCCACAAACAGCCACCGCATCCCACAAGGTTTTCAATCCCCAGTACCAAAAAACAAAACAAAGCAGAACACCCGTCCTTAACCCTGAGGTGCCCACTGGTGTTTTTATAAATAGCAAAACACCTCTGCTGCCCCTGGGCAGAGCCACTCTGGCTCACACTGTCTTCTGGTGTTGGTGCTGGGGATGGAGCCCAGGGCTAGACCACGCCAGGGAGACGCTCTGCCGCTGACCACAGCCTGGCCCAAATCGAGCATCAGAGAGCAAGCCACTGATGGGCTTTAGAGAGCTCTCCGCGGTGTGAGGTCCCCTCACAGAGGCCAAGGTGCCCCAGATTTGGTCCGGGCAGGGGGCCAGGCCCTGCTCAGGCTGCGGGGGCCCACAGGAGGCCTGGCTCCCTCTGTCAAGTCCGGATTGCTTTCACCACCCCATTCGCTGAGTCGCTCAGGCTGGGCTCTGACTTGTGATCCTCCTGCCTCAGCCTCCCAGAGTACAGGTGTAATCCCTCACGGGTGCATGCCCAGCTACTCCCTCACTTTTGGGGATGGGCAGCATTCCGTCTCAGAGGTGGAGCACACTTTGTACATTTTGTTTATCTTCATCCATGGAAAGCCATTTGGGTGTTTTCACCTTTGGCACCGGGTGCTCTTGATCCAGTTTAGTTTACTTTAGCCCATTCTATGTCGGAGGAACAGAGGCACAGAGAGGTTGAGTCACTGAGCCAAAGCCACACAGCTCTGCATGACAAAACTTGGAGAGGAACCCAAGTGAGCCTGACCAAAAAGGCTCCACCCCTACCTTCCCTACTGTGGGTGTGTCGTCGGTGGGTGTCACCCGCCCTGGCAGCACTCCCCCCACCCCCAGGTCCCAGCGTGGTCCTGACTCTGGATCTCCCTAGGTAGAACTTCCGTCTCCAACTACAAGCAGGTGCTGGGGCCCCAGCACCTGTCCCACAGAGTGGAGCGGCGTCCTGGGGAGCGGGAGATCAGGTTCTGTGCTGAGGGGCTTGCTTTTCCCGACGCAGACTTCTCAGGGCTGCTTTCTCTCAGCGTCCGCCTGGTGGACACAGCGGTAGGTGGGCGCTGGCACAGGGTGTGGGCGCTGGGGGCTGGGCTGGGGGCGCCTGGGCAGCCTGGGGTCCCCCCGAGGCCACTGAGTCCTCCTCTCCCTCCAGTCCCTGCCCGAGGTGCCTCTCTTCACAGACACCGTGGTCTTCCGGGTGGCGCCCTGGATCATGACCCCCAGCACCCAGCTGCCCCTGGAGCTCTATGTGTGCAGGTGTGCCCCAGCCCCGCTACCGTCCCCGTGACCGGCTTGGAGAGGTGGCCCTGGGATGGCTGCAGAGCAGCAGGGCACAGGGCAGCAGCCGGGGTCTGGCTGAGGTCACGGGCTCGAGCTCCCCCATCTTGTCCCCCTCGGTCCCCTCGCAGAGGCCGAGGTGCCCCAGATTTGGTCCAGGCAGGGGGCCGGGCGCTGCTCAGGCTGCTTGGGGCCACAGGAGGCCCGGCTCCCTCTGTCCAGGCTATGCCTGTGCCTGCTGGGGACGGGGACCCAGCCTCCAGGGTCCACCAGGGCCTCGGCCTTAGGCCTCTCTCAGGTCCTGCTCCAGCCCCTGGCAGCGGGGAGACCACAAATGTCGCAGGTCAGGACCAAGGAGAGGGCCGAGGCTGAGCAGGCAGGAAAAGAAGGGTAGTGGAGGTGAGCTGTGCCCGCCTAGCCTAGGCGCCTGCAGGCACCCGGACCCTTTGCTGAGGCCCCTTCTTGCTCTGTCCTCCTCAGGAAGATGCAGCCTCAGGTCACCTCCACGGCCACCTCCTGACCGCCGTCCTTAGTGTTCACATCACAGGGGTCACCGAGAGCGGGGGACCTTACCCCCATGAGCCCCTGAGCCTCTTTCAGGGCAGGGACCCTGTGCCCCAGGGCCTGTCTCGAGGTCCAGCCGGGGGTCATCGCCACGCCCCCTCTAATCTTTTACAGCGTCACAGACGCGCACGGCTCCAATGAGAAGTTTCTGGATGACATGGCTGACCTGGCGCTGAAAGCCAGCTGCAAGCTGGTCGTCTGCCCCCGGGTGGAGAATCGTAATGACCGCTGGATCCAGGTGGGTGCAGAGCGACTCCGGCAAAGGTCCCGTCCTGCAGCTGAGCCTGGGGACCGAGACCTGCACGGGCCTCACTGCTTCGGCCTCCCCAGAGGAGCCAGGGATCTCAGCCTCTCCAGCTGGGGTCCTGGGGCCTCACCTCCGCCCCTGCCACACACCCCCAGGGCTTGGGGTCACCTGTGCTGTAAACCAGCCTGTGGCTTTTTCTTCTCCCCGCAGGATGAGATGGAGTTTGGCTACATCGAGGCCCCTCACAAGTCCTTCCCAGTGGTCTTCGACTCCCCCAGAAACAGAGGCCTGCGGGATTTCCCCTATAAGAAGATCCTGGTGTGTGGTACAGGGCAGAGACTGGGGAGAGAGGCAGGAGGGCGCCAGCAATGGGGAGCCAATGGGAGGAGTGGTGGGCTTGCAAATGAGATGCAAATTTTATGCAGATAAGCAGCCCACAGCCCCTCCCCTATTCTGGGAGGGGTGGAACAGCAGAGTTCTGCTGGGTGAGGGCTTGTTCCCAACGGGAAACAGCAGGAGAGGTCAAACTGCTTTGTAGGGGAGAATGCATACTCACTGAGCCCTCACAGCTTTTAAGGGCTCGAGTCTACCTCAGAGCAAATGTTTGTTGAGCACCTACTTTGTGAAAGGCAGCATGCTGCCTCTTGTGCACAGGATTGGGACAGCAGCAGCAGCCATTGGACACGGAGCTCCAGGTGTCCCCTAGATTTCTCTGGGGCACTCTGTGCCGTTACTGATACGTACGGTTATGTTCTGTCTTTGAGGATGAGGAAACTGAGGCTCAGGGGTGTCGAGTAACTTGCCCAAGGCCACGCGGTGCGTCTGTGGTGGCCTCAGTAGGCAAAGCTGGGCAGGCCCCCTCCACAGCCCCTGCGCACACCACTAGGCAACACTGCCTTTCGAGATGGACACTGTCCCTACTGTTCCTGGCCCCCAGCACACTGCCTTTCGAGATGGACACTGTCCCTACTGTTCCTGGCCCCCAGCCGCTCCTGCTGGGACGGGCCTGGCCTGTGATGGGTCCCGGAGCCCTTGGGTACACAGGGCAGGGGCGTTCGTTCACCCAGAGGGCCGGGTGCTTCAACCGGGGGCAGTGCGGGGCGTGGTGGGGGCGCTGGCCGGCCAGTCCCAGGATCGTCGGCGGGTAGGTACCTGCGGATCTTTCGCTGACTCCTGCTCTCCCTGTGCGGCTTCTCATCCTCTTTATTTGTGTTTAGCTTGTTTTCCTTTCCTTAGCTCGAAACAGAGGCTGCGACTTTGTATCCTTCCTTCTTCCTAGTGCGGTGCTGGGGCCTTGGTGGCACCACCCCGTCCCCCTCCATCTCCCTGCCAGGCCCTCCAGGGTTCCTGGGCTGTTTCCCATCGCCATGTGGCCTAACTTCCGCTGGGATTTTTCTCTCTGGCCACGGTTTCTGCAGACAGGTGCCGCTTAATTTCCAGACACCTGGGGACCTTCTGTTTGCTCCTTGGTTTGGGGCTTGAACTTAAACTACAAGGTGTCCAGAGAGCAGGGGTGTGGGAGAGGGGCTCGAGGCCCTCCAGGTGCAGCAGCCTGGGCTCAGAGTCCTCTTCCGAGCCGCCCCTCGCTGTCCCCACTGACCCCTCCTGCTCAGGGCGGGGTCTCGCTGGTCCCTCCCTAGGGTCCGGACTTCGGCTACGTGACCCGGGAGCTCCTCTTCTCCGGCGCCTCCAGCTTAGATTCCTTCGGCAACCTGGACGTCAGCCCACCCGTGACAGTGGGCGACACCGAGTACCCCCTGGGCCGGATCCTCATCGGCGGCAGCTACCCCAAGTGAGAGGCCAGGGGGAAGGGATGGGGCACTTGGGGTGGGGGCGACACGCACCCCGGAGGTCCCCTGGTCACCAGCACACTTCTCGGCTCTGAGAGGTGGTCTTACCCCTGGTTCGAATCCTACAGTCGGAGACTCGGAGTCCTAGACGCTCGGATTTAGAAGGTCACAGAATCGTAGCAGAAAACTAGCGGCCTTGGGTCTTTCGGCCACCTCGTTTTATGAGCTTCATTAGTGACCGGCCTTAAATATGCATGTCGGGACGTCCCAGACGGGCCAGATTCCCAGCACCTCTGCGACTGTGGCAGGGCTGTAGTGGTGACACGTGTCTGGCACAGGGGCAGGGGGAGAGATTGTGGGCACCACCCGCCAGGAAGCCGGCTGTCCTGGCCTCAGCTGGAAGGGCCCAGAGGTCACCAGGGCCCAGGGTGGCTGGATACAGGTGGGGGAGAAGTCGGCCAGGATGCCAGGTGACTTGGCGGGTCCCACCCCGGGCAGGGCACAAGGCATTTAGGGCTTAGTGCTCAGACAGGTGACGATGTCTACTACCCTAGGCCAATGGGCTGTCCACCCTGCCTGAAGGTAGCCAGCAAGGGAATGTTTCTCAGGATCCCACTGCAAGCCTCAGAGGCTACCTGTCCGTTTGGGAGGGGCTGGCGTGGAGCCTGGGTGTGTCCCGACCCCCAGCTGTGGCCGGGCCCCGGAGACTCACTCACTGCCGGTGATACCAGCCTTGTCGGTCCTCAGTACCGCCGGCTCTCAGCTCTGTGTGACCTGTTCATTTGCTCAGTTTGAGATAGAAATGATGGAAAGGAAGCAGATCTGTCCGCACCAGGGTTTGTATATGATCCACACCTGCATGCTGGGGTCACTCCGCCACCCCAGGGAGGCCAGCTGTCAGGCAAGCTCAGGCCTAGGGAGCCAGCAGAGGGTGCCGGGAGCCTCTGGAGAAAGCCAGCTGCTCCTGAGCGGGTCATTGGTGGAAACATTGCTTTGGAGAGCAGCTTTCATTCTGCAGGAAACTTGTAGTAGCCCCTGTGATGTGCTGCACACGACACCTTCCCCAGGGGACACCATTCAGTCCTGGCCCGGCCCCAACGGGGTGGGAGGATTCTGGTCCCTGCGTTGAAGCTGGGAGGCAGAGGCTCAGAAAAGGGCAGCTACAAGCCTGCATTTGTATGCTTGCTTCCCAGCTCAGCTCAGGGCCCTCCCTGCCCTTCTCCCCGGAAATGACGTAGCCACATGGCAACCAGCAGCCTTGGGCTCTGGATCAGTTCAGCAGTGGTTTCCTGGATAACCAGGGTGCTGAACTGGGTCCCCATGCCAGGAGATGCCCACCTGCTCATGATTAGGCTGAGGCTGGGTCCTGCCCACATCCAGGGGCTGAAAGGCCCGGAGGCCTTCAGAATCTGAATCAGATAGACTTGGGTTTGGGTCCTGGCTTTGCTATCTACTGGTCAAGTGATTTGGGTACTTACCACAGAGCCCAGCACATAGTAGGTGCTTGATTAGTTCATTGAAAAATATCCTGAGGGCTGGGGATTTAGCTCAGTGATGCCACCACCTGCCTTGCAAGTCCAAGGTCCAGAGTTTGATCCCTGGTTAAAAAAAAAAAAAAAAAATCCTGTGCCAGGTACAGTTGGGAGATAACCATATTTTAAATAAGAAATGTGTTTTATAAACCTTGCCTCAGTTTCCTCCTCTGTGAAATGGGCTTAATAAAACTTCCTGTGGTAGCTATATAATCAGCATGACAGGATAAAGAATTCACTAAGCCACGTTTCTTTCTTTCTTTCTTGTTTTTTTGAGACAGGGTCTCACTAGTTGAGACTGACCTGGAACTCACTATGTAGCCCAGGCTGGTCTCGAACTCCCAGTGATCCTCCTGCCTCAGCCTCCTGAGTGCTGGGATTACAGGTGTGCACCACCACGCCCGGCTATCATTAAGCCGCTTTTCTAGCGCTTATGGAAGGTCCAGCTGGCCCCCAGCCATGGGCCTACCTTGCAACCAAACAGGTTAGAGCTCACGGGGCCAGGTTTAAGGACCACCTGCTGTGTGCCTCGCACATGAGGTGCTGCCCAGTTCCCTCGTGTCATCCTACATCCCTGTCTGGTCAGGACTGCTCCTAGCTTTGTGTTACAGGTGAGGAGCTGTGGCTTAGACACGTGTTCATTCCCGTACTCGTCCACCTGTTCGATATGAGTTTATCAGGACCTCCCGTGAGCAGGCCTGGGGCCCAGAGGGGGTGCGGAGATGACGAAGGAGCCAGGCTTGCTGTTTCTCCCCGCTGGAGTCGAGGCCCGGGTGGCAGTGGAAAGGAGCTCTCTGTGGGCAGAAATGGACAGATCAGAGCCAGGCAGGCCCTGCAGGTCCAGGCCAGGGGGCGCTCTGCAGCCCACAGCCATCGCTCTGGCCCCCAAGGTCATCCCCACCCCCAGCAGCCTGTGGACTCCAGAGCGCAGGCAGGGGCAGGTGGTGGTGGGGCTTCTCTGGGTCCCCCAGACTTTGCTGGCGGCTTCGTGTCTAGGACCACGCAGCGTGTTAATGGTACAAGCAGAACCCGGCTCTCCTGCCTGTGGCCGCAAACCGAAATGTAGCACCTTGGGCTGCTGTTCTGAGCCCCTGCTGCAGCTTTTGAGTTCAATCAGTGGTGAGCAGAGACCTGCACACGTTCTGGCAGGAGAGGCGGGCAGTTCGCAAACACATCCAGCAAGTAAGAAGGCCCCGTGGTGCCTCTGACCAGTGAGTGAGGTGCGGATGCATGAACGAATGCGTGTAGTTCTCTCTGCTGAGCCCCAGTGTCCTCATCTGGAGAATGGGGATCGTAATGCTCAGTGCCTCACAAGGCTGGGGTCGGGGTTAAAGGAAGTGACCTGGCTGAATCACTGTGTGCCCGGCACTGAGCACACCTGGGTGGAAATCTGACATTTGACAAAGCCTTGGAGGAAGTGATGGGAGTTAAAGATGTGGCTGTCCGGGAGGAGAATGTTCCAGGGAGTAGAAACCACCTGTGCAAAGGTCCTGAGGCGAGAGCATGCCGGAAACATTACAAGATGGACCCAAGTGTGCAAGAAGGGGTCCCATGAGAACTGGTCTCGGAGCTTGACAGAGCACCTTCCCATGACCTAACTGCTATTTGCATGTATGTCCTAGGGTTGCCAGGAGATCGTATGAGAGATTCTTTGTGTGAGGGAAGTAAGGCAGGCACATAGCAGTGATCAACTAACACAAGGTGCCTTCTCCGCTGATTCACCACCCTTTGTGGCTCACATTAGATCGTTATTTGAGCCTTTCCGCCCCCTAGTGGCGGCTTTGGTGATCACTGAGATTCAGGGCCGCTGTGCCCAGGCCCGGGGTCACTGTGTGTCCAATCCTCTGGGGAAGCAACTTGGAGAGACCCTGCCGCGTCCCCACGCCTCCTTCTGGTTCCTGCGGCTGTTTTCTCATGAACACTTCTGACGCCCAGCTCTTCTCCCCACCATCTCACTGCTTTTAAAGCCATCCCTTCAGCTGGGTGCTATGACTCACACCTGTCGTGGCAGCCCTGGGGAGGCTGAGGCAGGGGTATCGCTGTGAGTTGGAGGCCAGCCTGACCTACACAGTGAGATCTTGTGTCCAA